ACTCACCTGATGTAGGTGTTCAACTGTATCTACCTTATGAGGGCAGGATAATATCTGATTACTCTATGATATATGCTAGCCAGTTTTATGATATTGATCAGAATCATGATGTTAATGATATCAATGATGCTTTGTGGTGTCAGAGTGCTAACAATGGTACTAATATTGGAGTGTGGTATTATCCTAATGGAACTGAAGTACCTTTATTTGATGGACCCTTTGGTGATCCATCAGCTCCTAGACCATTGTTCAGTAAGAGATTCAGTGGTCAGATTGGACTAGCTAGAAGAGAAGGACTATTAGGATATGAAGGTTTATACAAGTGTATCATTCCTGATGAAAATGGAGTGAATCAAACACTAGTGGTTGGAGCATATACTGATACTGGATATAATGACAATGGTATGAGATGAATATAGACTATAATTAATGTACTTCTTTTACAGATGGTCCTGATGCTGATCCTACTATGCAGTTCTCTCTCCTCTCTGCTAGTAGATTAGCTACTCCTCCAGTCTTCAGTCTCAGTTTCAATGTCTCTGATGGTCCTCCTACTAATGTCAGTTGTTCAGTGAATGGGAATGGAATATCTACTGAACTGTCTCGTGTGATAGTGAATGGATCAGTATCTGTTACAAGAGTGACAGTAACAGTGGGACTGAGAGAAGCTGGTAACTATCAGTGTACTGTATCTAATGACAGAGTAACTGATGGTACTAATGGCGTTATTGGTAATGTTCAGGCAACAAGCAGTAACACATCGTTGAGTTTATCAGGTTTGTCATTTATTATTTATTTTAAATTTTACTCTCATACTCATACAGTATCTGATACTCCAACTGGTTTGAATGCTACAAGATTAAGTACTGGTTTAGCTCATGTAAGACTCTCCTGGTCTACTGTATCAGGAGCTACTGGTTATGAGGTCTACTATCAACTGTCTAGTAATACTCCTGTTAGTGTAGGCACTACTACTGCTTCAACAACAATCGATATAATATCAGGATTGATTCGAGGAAGTGCATACACTTTTTATGTAGTATCTTTTGGATCAGCTTCTCTACCTAGTGGTAATGCTTCAGTTATGTTAACTTTTAGTAAGTTATAGCATAGAAATAAAATATTATTTTTTTTATTTTAGGTGATCCGGTAGTTAATGACTTTATAGCTACTAAAAGTACAGCTTCTGCCATTACATTAACATGGAGTCCACCAACTGCTGTAGTACCAATTAGTTATAATATTAATAGGAGATGTAGGAGAGTATGTGGATCATCATTCACTAGGAATAATGAAACATCAGTTTCATCACCACATACTTCAACTGGTATACTTCCTTACAGTCAATGTACCTTTGATCTTATTGGAATATATGGATTTCAAACAGTTTACCTGACAAGAAATTATTCAACAACAACACTTTTTACTAGTAAAATAATGATTATTATTATCATTGTAATTTGTCAATTCTTCCTATAGCTCCTACTGCACCAGTGGGTGATATTATATTCTCATCAGTAGAGTCAGTGTCAATGACTGTCTCATGGGATGAAGTACCTTGCAATGGAAGGAATGGACCAATCACTGGATACTACCTCACATACACTAACATCACTTCAAACACTAGTTATACTGTTAATATTACTGGAGGAGACAACAGAATGTATAATCTCACAGGATTAATACCATATACTAACTATACTGTGAGTATAATACCTTATAATTATAATATGACTGGACCAGCTAGACAAGAAATACAATTAACTCCTGAATCAAGTAAGTCAATGAGATATTGATCAGTTTAACATGATCTTAACACAGTTCCTGGTCTGATATCTGATCTATATGCAAGGGCACCAACTAAGATCAGCATCTCATGGAATCCTCCTACAATACCTAATGGTATCATTACAGTATATGAGATAAGATATAGAGAGTCTACCAGTACTGATCCATACAATATAACTAACACTACTAACACTTATTACGAAATAGCAGGATTGATACCTAATACTAGTTATACTATTGGAGTGAGAGCATATACTAGTATTGGACCAGGAGAATGGACTGATAGAGAATATACTGCTGCTCAAATTTGTAAGGAATTATTGAAAGATTATGATTATTATTTTAGTATAGTTGCATTTGTAAGTCAATACTTTTCTATAACAAAGTTCAGTTCTAAAGCAGTGATAGCTGTCTGGAGTTCAGTTCCTGGAGCTAGTCATTATACTGTCTATTATGAGTCAACCAATAGCTCCGGATCCTCAAGAAAGAAGAGACAAGTAGAGACAGAAATGAGAGTATTCTCAGGTGATACTACTGAAGGTCTAATAGGAGGATTAGATCCTAATCTGAACTACTTGTTCTCTATATCTACATCATTTAATGTTAATGGAACCATTTATGAAGGAGAGAGGACTCAACCAATGCCACCAGGTAATGTTACACTTGTTATCATGTATAGATACATGTAGTATAAACTGTATTTAATATAGGCATTATTGTAATTCCTACTATAACTGTTGTAACGTCATCAACAGCAAGTAAGATAATTTGTTAGTTTTTAAAAAGCAATGTCAGTGTCATTAAGTGTGAGTATGTTCCTAGCTCTAATTCATATATTTAGGTGATACTCCAACTCCTACTATTGTATCAAGCACTTCATCAGTCATTAGTGTTACAGGATCATCAACAAGTAAGACAGTACATATACTAATAGATGTATGTAGTCAGTTTATGTCATCAATAGTGTCATTAAGCATTAGTAAACATATCACTGTTGATGCATGTTTATGTTTATAGTGTTTTATTCTACTGAAACAACTACCATGACAACTCCATTGACTACTGCATTGACTACTGCATTGACTACTGCATTGACTACTGCATTGACTACTGCATTGACTATTCCATTGGCTACTGTATCAGCTACTGTATTAGTGGATAGTGGAGTAAATACTGGAGTGATAGTTGGTCTAAGTATAGCTCTCACTGTTTCATTAGTACTGGCTGTAATTATAATTATTATACTGGCCCTAGCTTTGTACATAAAAACAACTAACATTAATCAAAAAAGGTAAATGTACTTACAAGTTACTATTGTAAAATTTGTAGCAGTGTACAATTACATAGAAAATTAGATAATGACATTGCAATGAAGTGCAGTCCAGCTTATACTACAACTGAATTTACAAAGTTAGTTACACTATTGACTAGTACATTATGTCTATACACACACACACACACACACATACAGTACTGCTGATGATATACTAATGAAGGATAGTCCAACATATGATACAGTACAACGAACACAGTCAGTTATATAAAATACAATTATTATTATTATTTAAAAATAGATTAACTGTTGAGCCAGTGTATGATACAGCTGGGCTCAAGACTACTACTACACCTGCTGAATATGAAATACCAACAGTTTCATGATTTGGTGCACAATGCAACATTAAAGTGTGTCTTCGTCCTATATTTAAACTTTAAAGTAGCAAAAGATCGAAGTTTAGTACTTCATCATTGAGTATGTCAAATTTTACAATAATAAAATTTTGTGTGGGTGTGCTATTAATAATTTTCAATGTACAAGTAAGTCTTTGCTAGTATCAGATCCTTTTCCCTTACCTCCAGCACTACCTTGTAACAGAGCTGCCCTTGATCCAAACTGGAGTGCTCTTTTAGGAAGAGAAGCAGCACAAGTGCAGCCAAGCATCAGTGCAGTCTCTCTTAGGAGCCTCTTCTCACCCTCTCCTCTTGGTAACTCTAAATCAGCCTGAAAATAGAATAAATAAAATAATTATAAACTCATCAATGCAATATAGAATTTCAGCCTAAAATTCTATTATTAGACACTTCAGTGATAGTGTATAATGTTGGGTGGCATACTTTATCATGCATTGGTAGGTGACTTAAGAAGTCAACCACTTTTTCGTCGAGATAGGGAAAGCGTGCCTCTCTGTGGTGATCTCCAATGCATCTATAGGAGAAACAAAAAGAATATAACATAGTGTTTATGAATTACTAGGCCAATTATTAGGCAAGGCATAGGTTTAGCTATATTAATTTGGATCCCAATTACTTCGTTACATTTTCTGATACATATTGATGTACTTACACTATGTAGAGTTTGAGGTGATTCTGACATAAACTTTTCAAGGTATGGCCATTTTATAAAATTGGCCAAAATCTGAAAAATCCCTGTACTATAGCCCATGGTTTTTTCTGAAAAATGGCTAAAAATCATTTCCAATTTTTATTATATTTTCTTAATACATATTGATGTACTTATGCTGTTTAGAAAGTTTGAGCTGATTCCAACTTAAATTTTTTAAGTTACGACCATATTAATAAAATCGGCCAAAATCTGAAAAAATCCCTGTACTATCCCATGGCTTTTTCCAAAAAATGGCTAAAAAATCATCTCCAATTTTTATTAAATTTTCTAATACATATTGATGTACTTATGTTGTGTAGAAAGTTTGAGCTGATTCCAACTTAAATTTTTCAAGTTACGGCCATTTTTTAAAATGGCCAAAATCTGAAAAAATCCCTGTACTATAGCCCATGGTTTTTTCCAAAAAATGGCTTAAAAATGACCCCCAATTTTTATCAAATTTTCTGATACATATTAATGTCCTTATGCTGTGTAGCAAGTTTGAGCTGATTCCAACTTCAATTTTTCAAGTTACGGCCATTTTAAGAAAATGCCAAAATTTTGAAAAATACCCAAGGCTATAGCCCATGGTTTTTTCCAAAAAATGGCTAAAAATCACCCCAATTTTTATTAGATTTTCTAATACATATTGATGTACTTATGCTGTATAGAAAGTTTGAGCTGATTCTGAATACTGGTTTTTGAATTACACGTAGCTATACAATACACATCCCAATGTAATGTACACAGTACCTGTCATCTCGGCCAAGATTCCTATATGATAATCTTTTAATATCTTTCTGTACTTCAAATATGAGTCCCTCAATACCTCCATGCCTATGAAGAGCAAAATCACTGCCATACATACATTAATATAGTAACAATAATAATTATAACTATTAAGACTTAACATAAATATACTTGATCTACAATCACTCTATATCTCTCTTACTGGTATTGCGTCCTGTGCCTTGAGTAACCAGCTAATTGTTCATCAGCTCCAACACCAACCAGTACCACCTAATACAAAAACATATCACCACAAAATAAATAAATAAATAAATAAATAAATATATATATATATATATATATATATATATACAAGCACATTGATAATGAAATAAATGCATCTACTCTATTATAAATAGCATCATTTTATAGGCAATATACATGTATACTAATTCTAGCATCAAGTAGTCTATTTATATTACAGTATACTAGTGCATTATTTAGCATATTTAGTTTATTAGAAAGCTGCTATTATTTCTTAATACCTTTGCTCTGGTTTGGTATGGTCTACCAGAGACAAGGTAGCCTTTACCACGAGCAGCAAACCACATGGCACACCCGAGACTATCATCAAGTACAGTAGACAATGGATGAACAGAATGAGATATGTATTCACTTCTAATATATGAATAGATAAAAATAACATTACTATTATTAGTACTTCATTGCAGTGACCTCATCTTGATCTACATTAACCTACGATGAATGGATTGCAATATAAAGTAGAGGATTACTCTAGATATTATTGTAAGTCATATTACTAGTATTAGATTCCATTGTCTGTCCGGATTGAGTTCTTGTGCTGCTTTAATAGCTGAAATACGGTCAGGCACATTATAACTAAGAGAAGGACAGAAGACAACGTATAATAAATGATATAATCCCAGAAACACTTCATTTCTCTTTCAATTACTACATTATAATACTATAACTCACTCTGTGTTTTTAGGATCTTTGCTTTGATTGAATGCAACATTAATAAGATCAACACTCTCACCTGGAACAAGACACCTATAATAAAATGCACACATACTTTTAAGTAAAGAAAAGTTTCAACTGCAAATACAATAACATTAACTATTAGATAACATTATAACACGTATACAAGTAGTTCTGTAGTGTATGTTCTCTGCTATAGATCTCACCTGTCAACCAGTGCAGCTATTACAGCTGAATCAAGCCCACCAGAAAATAAGACAGCAACAGGAGAGGCCTTAACTCCATCTTCCTTCTCCTCTCCTGCCCTGCTTGAGCAGACTAGTCTCTTGTGTACAGCTTCTTGTAATAATTCTAATAGTCTTGCTGCATTTGATGACCAGGTGGAGGAGGTTGACTGCTCTGAAGGTGAGGGAGAGGGAGGAATGGAAGGTGTTTTTGTATTGAGTGATGAGAATGGAACTGTCAAGCTTTTAGCTGATGGCTCAATGTGTAGAGTTGTTGTTAGTTTTGAGAGCTCGTTTTGAGCATCAAGGACAAAGAACTGATCTGAATCTATAAGAGAAAGAGAGAGAGGGAGAGGAGGGGAGAAAGGAGAGGGAGAGTGGTTTGTCATGGCTAATGCTTTAAAACCTTTTTCTTTCCATAGATAGCAATGAATTCTCTCTTCTTCTTTAGCAGCCTTATATTCATAAACACCTAATGCAGGGACTTCACTCCAATAATCCTAAAAAAAATAATTATGATACACTATACTATTAATAGATGGTCCTACTTGTGAGAATCCTTTCATGTTCCCAACAGACGATACAACAAATATGTCTTCATGGTCTTGTGGGAGGTGCCATACTAAACTCCGCCTACCAAGAACATCCCTTCCCACCCACACACTGGAATTAGACTCCTAAAAATCAATTATTACCCTAACGAGTAAGGGCGTCCTAACCTCCCAGTATACTGTAGCCCATGGTCCATGTATTTTCTCAAATACATTTAATATGCGAGAAGTGTCACCATGACAACTCGTCAAAGCATCCATCACAATCTGAGTGTCATTTTCTTCAACTCCAACCTAAAACAACCGCCCACACATAATTTTAATTAATTAATCATTAATCATTAATTTTATTCTCACTTGAAGGCCATCAAAAACTTCCCCATTCCATAGCAACAGGCCACGCCCATTAGAAACCGGCTGGGCGGTGACTCCTGGCCCCCTAAGAGCTAAGACGAAACCTTTCAAATACATTAACTTTCCATTTGGTAGCAATATCACAGTGTCATTAATAGAGTCGTGACCACGCCTCCACAATTGATCCTCTAGGCTATGAATAATCTAATGAGACATGAAATGGAGTGTCTTTATTTTAATTGCTAAAAGAATTTAATTTTTGTATTGTTTTACTGACTTTTGTAGCGAGGGATTCTCTTGAAGGATCATATATTATCAGTAGAATTCCACACATTAGAATAAAAGAGCTTCTAGAGGTTCAAAATGCTTTAAAATTTCAATGATTGTAACCACCTAAAATAGGCTGGGCCAAATAAGGCCACGTGGAAACTCGTGGGTAAGTGAGCTGAGCCACGTGCCAACACGTGTTTAACATATGACGGGAATGATCCGGAACAGTAAACTTCAAACATGTGGTAAAACTAAAAATGGCTTTTTTTTCAATCCTGCTCTTTGAGGCTTTTTGGTGTTTTAGAGAGAATTTCTTGGATACTTACGTAAGAAATTATATTTAATAATTTTAATTCGTGTAGTATGTTTAATTAAAATTTTACTCAATTATTCTGATTACAAAAAATTAATATGCCAACCAATAATGCAAATGTTTTAATAAGGCATTAAAATAATTGAATCAGTCAATGTCTGTAATGCATGTATCACTATTATTATATTAATTATAGTTGACTTTCATTCCCCTGTATGCATTCTGGAGGTCAGGGTATAGCATTTCCCCTGCCTCTAGACCTCCTCCTAATTGACCAGCTTCAGGAGACGGGAGCTCATCATTCTCTTCAGATTCCAACTGAAGCATGGAGAGCATGAGCCTGTGGAAGTCTGGCCTCTCTCTTGGAATGGGATGCCTGCATTATGTACATGCATACAAAGTAATTCAATGTTATTGTAATTCATTGTTAATGTAATAATTTTACTAAAATTATTAAATTAATGCTAAATATACACATTACAAAGTTATGTTATAATTAGCCTTATAAATACTTATGGTGTTGATTTTCTATTTTTTTTTATAAAAATGTTTTCTTAAAATTTTGTTGACTGGATTAAGGAAAGTGGCTCTAAATGCAATTATTATTATTGTATCATACCAGCACTGTATCATGTGCTTGTAAATGGAGCGTGGACAGCCAGGTGGTGGAGGCAGCCTGTACCCATCTTTAACCTTCTCCAGTGCCTATAATGTAATAATGGAATACTTTGTAGCATTTATCATATTTATAAATAGATTTTTAAATATGGTTTATTTGTAGTGCCATGGAGTAAAACTAAAGCTATCATTACATGCATTGTTGCTTACGTAAATGTTTGAATATGTCTCGAATGGTTTTCGTCCAAGACTCCATATCTCATATAGTACACAACCATAGCTCCATACATCAGAAGCTGATGAGTACTTGCGTTTGATAACTGCCTCTGGGGCTGTCCATTTTATTGGGATTTTCCCTCCTTTGGAGTAATAATATGCTTCATTTTCCAAGTCGCATGACATTCCAAAATCAGCTATCTGTGTGTGTGTGTGTGCATTAGATTAAAGTGTAATACCTTGTATACTAAAACTAAATTTGTACTATTTTGACTGGCACTTTTTTGTTAAGGAAGTACACCAAACAATCATCTTTCATGTTATTTGAAAACACAAGGCTTCCTGCATGCAACTTATGTATAACTATGTATGTAATCATCTTTACTTTGCAAATGTTTTCTTTTGATAATAGAACGTTCCTAGCTGCAAGGTCACAGTGAATGAATCCTTTGCAGGAGAGGTACGTCATTCCAAGGCAGATCTGACGACAGAAGTTTAAGAGTTGATAAGGTGAAGCTTTATTGCTATGAATAGGTATTAGTAGAATAAAGACACCTATGACTATTGAATACTTTCTCTTTAGCTTAAGTAGATAATTCTGTAAGTCACCGTTTTCCAACAATTCCATGACAATCATTGCCTTATGTAAAAAAATCTTATGATAGTATGTTATATTTTGCTTTTAGGTACTACCTTTTCATTTTCAAATACTATCCCATGCATCTTCACTATATTCAAGTTATTGAATTGTCTCATGATTGCTGCCTCTTGTAGAAATTTAACTCTTTCTTCATGTAAGGAGCCTTCCTTCATTAGTTTAACGGCTACCATCTTATCTCCTAGTCTTCCTTTGTAGACTTCACCGAACTGGCCAGACCCAAGTCTACTGTCTAAACTGTGTGTATTAGTACGGAAAATAATTATTGACAAAATTTAAGTCAAGTCCCATGCATTTAAGATTTCGTAGCCATGGGAAATATACCAATTTTTGAAAAAGCCCATGGGTTTTTCTGAAAAATGGTTAAAAAAATCATCCCAAATTTTTGTTACATTTTTTGATACATATTGATGTACTTATGCTGTGTAGAAAGTTTGAGCTGATTCCGACTTAAATTTTTCAAGTTACGACCATTTTAAGAAAACACCAAAATTCTGAAAAAATCCCTGTACTATAGCCCATGGTTTTTTCAAAAAACGGCCGCAAAATGACTTCCAATTTTTATTACATTTTTTGATACATATTGATGTATTTATGCTACATAGAAAGTTTGAGCTGATTCCAACTCAAACTTTTCGAGTTATGAGCATTTGAAAAATTAATTCCCAATTGCTAAATGCAACATTGCATTAATGCATGTAAACTGTATACTTACACAAGTGAGTCTGATTGTATTTGCTTTGCATGACAGAGCTGCATGTAAAGCTGTCCCTCATCTCTAGCTGGAGGAGTATATTTTATCTCTTTCTCCTTCTCTGTCATAACCTTCAACTAACACTCAATTACAATTATAATTATAATTATTTATACTTGTTTGAGATGCCTGTAGTAATGCTCTCCTTCCTCCAATGTGAAATAGCCAGGCACTTCATAACCTGTTGGTTTATTAGCTACTGGAGAAACTGCTCCTGCTCCCCTAGGCTATAATTAAATAAAGAAATGATTATTTTATTTATTTGTCATGCATTTAGTTAATTTTTGTGGTTTCTGTAAGGATTATAATCGATGGTTTTCAAAATAATCTTGGCAAATTTGCAAGCCATATCAATAAACATGCTCAGAATCAAGGGAATCGGTGTATTTTATAATAACCTTTTGTCCTGGATCTGCTAATATAAATTCCATGCATCCTACAATGTAAAACCTTACCTCTGTGGGGTGAGAATTGGTGCTAACCATTACTGGCATTTCATACTCCTCTACATGGCTATCATGCGTTCTGCTTGTTGGTGGCTCATCATATTCACTGATGATGCTACAAATTACTCTTGTCTCATTTTTGTTTTGTCTTTTATTGTTGTCACTGGAATCATCTTGTACTGTCTGGTACAGAGCATCAATTTTACCTACATAACAAATTCAATTTTTATAATTTAATTGAGTTTAACATAATTATGCACATAAAAATTGGCTTGGCTAGTTTAAACTCACAGCATGGGTTCTCAATCATGTTATTACTGTTCTTTTTTCTTCTCTTTGTGATGAATACAGTGAATAGAATGACAAGAGCACCTAATACTAGCAGTGCTATCATTAAAGCAGTCCCTGAAATAGTTCCTAGTATTAGTAGTGTCATATTGCTAGAGTCCACTGCCCCTGTAGTTGGTGTAGGACTATTATCAATAGTACAAGTTGGACACACTCTATCAGTGGTGACTGTCATTAAATCATCACTGGTTGTAGCTGTTAATGGAAATAATTATATTATGAATGGGGTATATTATTATTACATTGTGTGGTGGTAGGCTGTACAGTAGTGATAAGAACTGATTTTGATGATGGGGTTCCTTTAATTATAGAAGCATGTGGATAATTATTAAAAACATTTACAGTTACTTGTGATTGAAGTTGGTTTTGTTGTTGATGGAGTGATTGAAGGTGATGTTGCTAAATTTGGTGGTGTGATCTCATTCTGACATGTAGGGACTGTTTCATTCAGAGCACCACTTTCACCATTCAATACACACTCACTCAAACTAGGACCGGTAAGTATATAACCAGGATTGCATTTATAATACACAATATCATTTATTAGTGGAAGAGATGAGATAAGAAGCCCATTAGGGGATTCCAAGATTCTACCATTAATTAGTATCGGAATTGAGCAAGTTATTGGAGCTATTTGCATGGGTAAATAAAGTATTTAAAAATAAAATGCAATATTTTCTCACTTATAGTAGCTTTTGCTCTAAGTATTTTCCCATTGAGAGTAGAGCAACTGATGCTATTGCCACTGCTACCATTTACACAAATGCTGCCACTTCCATCTGCAACAAAGGTTACATCACGCTCATTTCCTTGTGGTGCTGGCACGTATATCCCTATGACTTCCCCCTTCCTTATGAATAGTGGAGGAGTAACACTGACAGTGTTACCTCTGTTTCCAGCTGGATTGCCTGATAAAATTAATAATAATTTACATTACATGATGGTAAAGTATTGTTCAAATAGGCTTAGCTATATTGACTTAAGAATCTTTGTAGCCCTTAGCTTACTTACTGCTTGTTTTAGCAAGGTATTGTCTGATACCTCTCAAATTAAATACAGTTGAAGATTGGCTCCATACTGAGACAGAAGAAACAAAATTCCTGATTTGATTGTTAATCTTTACTCCTTGATAATAAGTGTATTCTACTCTTCCTATGTGTCCAGTGCATTCTGCCCTGTCATCAATATTGAGCACCATACCAAAGATAGGATTTGCACTGGTTGTTCCAGTTTCATCACTGCCAGCAGTACACTGGGTATGAACTGTGTGGAGAAGTCCTGCTGAGGGTTTTTAAAAAGTTGTACTTGTAGTAAATACAGGCCTAACTATGGCTTACCTGATATTATAGTGTAGCATTGCCATAAATGCAGCAATTTCATGTTTTCCAGTGCCTTTTACTTCGGTGAGAGTCTGAGAGAGTAAGCAAACAATCAAAAGGTAACTGCGAACACGTCCACCGTTATAATTAATTTTATATTTAAATTTGAGAGCAGTGCGGGGCGTGGTAATGCATCGCTATATATAATTTGTGAGCGGAGCGACGTAAATTAAAAATTATAATCACAGATCATGGTTCGTTTTCTTAGATATTTTTGCAGCATTGTAGCTGGTAAGTCAAATATTCTATAGTTTATTTAATGTTTTATTTCTTTTTGATAGTAATATGTGCTGTTTCTTTTGCAAGTGGTCAAGGAGGCTGCAGTATTGGTCATGTCTATAATCCTGAGACACAGAGGCACATCTCTAATATTCCCACAGGCTGGTATCTTAATCTTGATAGTCCCCTGAGCTGCTCTGGTAGGCTTAGCACTCTTTTGGTTAGATTCTACCAGTCTCTCAACAGTGGGCATTATTGCATACCTTGGGCATTCTGGAAACCACTAGAAAATGACACCTATAAGCGAGTTAGTGGTACTGATGCATTAGTTGTTCATTTTTATTCATTTTGGGTATTGATATTTCTTTTTGTTATTTACTTGTGCAGGTACCAAACTCTGATGGTTCATATTACCAGTATTTTGATGAAGCAGATGATGATAGTAAATACATCATGCATGTATCTATATATCTAGTACATGCATATCTTTAAATTACTGCTTGTTAATGGATCAATTTGGATAAAATGACTTTGTTCAGTTCTGCTTTTTTGAGGCTTTTTCTGGTGTTTTAGAGGGCATTTACAACTAATTTCTTAGATATTTTAGGTAAGAAATTATATTTAATAATTTTAAGTCATATGACATGCTTAATTAATATTTCAATGAATTAATTAATATTCTGCAAATCAATAATGTTAATTTTTTAATAAGGCACTAAAATAATAATTGAATCAGTCAATGTCTGTAATACATGCATCACTATTATTATATTAATTATAGTTGACTTTTATTCCCCTGTATGCATTCTGGAGGTCAGGGTATAGCATTTCCCCTGCCTCTAGATCTTCTCCTAATTGACCAGCTTCAGGAGATGGGAGCTCATCATTCTGTTCAGATTCCAACTGAAGCATGGAGAGCATGAGCCTGTGGAAGTCTGGCCTCTCTCTTGGAATGGGATGCCTGCATTATGTAATATGCATACAAAGTAATTGAATTAATGCAATTTAATGTTATTGGAGATAACTGCACTAAATGCTATGTACATTATGAAGTTGGTCATAAAAAACCTTATAATTATTTATGGTGCTGATTTTGTATTTTTTAAAATAAAAATTTGATGTTTTCCTAAAATTATATTGACTGGATCCTAAGGGAAGTGATGCTAACTAAATTTATACACTGTCCTTAAATATTTCCAATTGATAATGCTACTATTATTATGTAATTGTATCATACCAGCACTGTATCATGTGCTTGTAAATTGAACGTGGAGAGCCAGGTGGTGGAGGCAGCCTGTATCCATCCTTAACCTTCTCCAGTGCCTATAATATAGCAATAGAATAATAATTAAATTTTAATTGCAGCATTTACCATGCTTATAAATAAGATTCTTAAATGGTGTGATTATAGTTCCGTGGAGTAAAACTAAAGCTATCATTACAAATATTGCTACTTACATAAATGTTTGAATATGTCTCAAATGGTTTATGACCCAGACTCCATATCTCATACAGCACACAACCATAGCTCCAAACATCAGAAGCTGATGAGTACTTGCGTTTGATAACGGCCTCTGGGGCCATCCATTTTATTGGGATTTTCCCTCCTTTTCCTTTGGAATAATAATATACTTCGTCATCTTCCAAGTTGCATGACATTCCAAAATCAGCTATCTGTGTGTGTGTGTGCATTAGATTAAAGTGCAAATGTTGCATACTAAAACTATTTTGTCTGGCTCTTTTTGCTAAGCAAGTCACAACAAACAATTATCTTTTATGCTGATTGAAAACACAAAGCTTCCCACATTCTTTATAACTATAATATGCAATTAAGGTCTTATTTTTACTTTGCAAATGTTTTCTTTCGATAATAGAATGTTCCTCGCTGCAAGGTCGCAGTGAATGAATCCTTTGCAGGAGAGGTACGTCATTCCAAGGCAGATCTGACGACAGAAATTTAAGAGTTGATAAGGTGAAGCACTATTACTATCAATAAGCATTAGTGGAATAAAGAAAAATGTTAATATTGAATACTTTCTCTTAAGCTTAAGTAGATAATTCTGTAAGTCACCGTTTTCCAGCAATTCCATGACTATCATTGGCTGTATACAAAACCTTATGATAGTATGTTATATTTTGCTTTTAGGTACTACCTTTTCATTTTCATACACTATCCCATGCATCTTCACTATATTCAAGTTATTGAATTGTCTCATTATTGCTGCCTCTTGTAGAAATTTAACTCTTTCTTCGTGTGAAGAGCCTTCCTTCATTAGTTTAACAGCTACCATCTTATCTCCTAGTCTTCCCTTGTAGACTTCACCAAACTGGCCAGACCCAAGTCTACTATCTAAACTGTGTGTTAGTATAAAAATAATCATTGATAAAGCTTAAGTGAAATCCCATGTTAAGAGTTTTGTAGCCATGGGAAATATACCAATTTCTGAAAAAATCCTTGTACCATAACCCATGGTTTTTCCAAAAAATGGCAAAAATCACCCCAAATTTTTATTACATTTTCTGATACATATTGATGTTTTTATGCTTTGTAAAAAGTTTGAGCTGATTCCAACTTAAATTTTAAAAGTTATGATCGTTTTTTAAAATTGGCTGATTTCTGAAAAAATCCTGCCCATGGTTTTTTCCAAAAATTGGCTCCAAAATGACCCCCCGCTTTTATTATATTTTCTGATACATATTGATGTATTTATGCTACGTAGAAAGTTTGAGCTGATTCTGACTTAAGCTTTTCAAGTTATGAGCATTGGAAGGATTAATCTCCAATTGCTAATTTCAGTATTGTATCAATTATCAATTAATGCATGTATGCTGTATACAGTACTTACACAAGTGAATCTGATTGTATTTGCTTTGCATGACAGAGCTGCATGTAAAGCTGTCCCTCATCTCTAGCTGGAGGAGTGTACTTTGTCTCTTTCTCCTTCTCTGTCATAACCTTCAACCATGCATAAACTAAAACTAAATCATAATTATAATTATTTATACTTGTTTGAGATGCCTGTAGTAATGCTCTCCTTCCTCCAATGTAAAATAGCCTGGCACTTCATAACCTGTTGGTTTATTAGCTACAGGAGAAACTGCTCTTGCTCCCCTAGGCTATAATTAAATAAAGAAATGATTATTTTAATTATTTGTCATGCATATTATAATTGCCTAGTTTATAGTATCTATGGTTATTTTTTAACATTGTGACTGATGGTTTTATATTAGGAATTTTGCCAATCACTTCACTTGTTGTATTGAATATGCTCAGAATCAAGTGAATTGGTGTATTTTGTAATAACTTTTTGTCCTGGATCTGCTAATATAAATTCCATGCATCATACAATGTATAACCTTACCTCTGTAGCGTGAGAATTAGTGCTAACCATTACTGGCATTTCATATTCCACTGCATTACTATGATGCATTCTGCTTGTTGTTGGCTCATCATATTCTCTGATGATGCTACAAATTACTCTTGTCTCATTTTTGTGTCGTCTTTCATTGTTGTCACTGGAATCTTCTTGTACTGTCTGGTACAGTGCATCAATTTTGCCTACATGACAAATTTAATTTCATAATGCAATGGAACTAAAAACATAATTATACACATAAAACAATGGCTTGGCTAATTTAAACTTACAGCATGGGTTCTCGATCATGTTATTACTGCCCTTATTTCTTCTTTTTGTGATGAATACAGTGAATAGAATGACAAGAGTGCTTAATACTAGTACTGCTATTATTAAAGCAGTCCCTGAACTTGTTCCTAGTATTATCAATGTCATATTGCTAGAGTTCTTCTCCTCTCCTGCCCCTGTAGTTGGTGTAAGATTATCAATAGTACTTGTTGTATGCACTTCATCAGTAGTGGCTGTCATCAAGTCATCACTAGTATTAGCTCTGTAGGCTGTGTTAATATAAATACTAATTATTATGAATAAGGTATTTTACTAGTTCTACATTGTGTAGTTGTAGTGATAGGAATTGGTTTTGTTGTTGATGATGCAAATATTATAAAAGTCGAAGTAACTGTGCTATAAGTGGATTTTGTTTGAATTCCTGTATTTATAAAATAAATTAATGTTTTCCTTGTAACACTTGCCTTACCTGTTGCTTGCATTGTTGCTTGAGGGATTGAAAGTGATGATAATGTGTTCATTAAATTTGGTGGTATGATCTCATTCTGACATGTAGGGACAGTCTCATTCAGAGCACCACTTTCGCCATTCAATACACACTCACTCAAACTAGGACCAGTAAGCCTATAACCAGGATTACATTTATAGTATACAATATCATTTATTAGTGGAGGAGATGAGAGAATAGGCCCACAAGGTAATTGCAAGACTCTACCATTAGTTAGTACAGGAATTGAGCAAGTTATTGGAGCTTTTGGGATAAAGAAAGTATTAATAAATAAAATATAATATTTTCTCACTTATGGTAGCTTTTGCTCTAAGTATTTTCCCATTGACAGTAGTGCAACTGATGCTATTGTCACTGCTACCATTTACACAAATGCTGCCACTTCCATCTGCAACAAAGGTTACATCACGTTCACTTCCTTGAGGCGCTGCTATGTATAATCCTATGACTTCTCCCTTCCTTATTAATAGTGGAGGAGTAACACTGACAGTGCCATCTCTGTTTCTAACTGTATTACCTGATAATCATAATACATTACATGATGATATAGTATTTGTTCCAATAGGCTTAGGTATCATTGACTTAAGAATTATTGTAGATTACTTACCACTTGCTTTAGTATTGTATTGTCTGCTACCTCTCAAATTAAATACAGATAAAGATTGGCTCCATACTGAGACATAGTATACAAAATTCCTGTTCTGATTGTTAATCCTTGGTCCTTGATAATAAGTGTATTCTACTATTCCTATGTGTCCAGTGCATTCTGCCCTGTCATCAATATTAAGCACCATACCAAAGATAGGGTTTGCACTGGTTGTTCCAGTTTCATCACTGCCAACAGTACATTGTGAATCAATTGAGTAGAGAAGTCCTGCTGAGCGTTTTTAAAGTTGTACTTGTAGTAAATACAGGCCTGACTATGGCTTACCTGATATTATAGTGTAACATTGCCATAAACGCAGCAATTTCATGCTTTCAAGTGCCTTTTACAAAGGCGAGAGAGTGAGTAAACAAATCTTGCTTTGGACAAAGCATCAAAGGCAAGTCCGCCGTTATAATTTGAGAGTAGCAGTGCATGCAGGGCGTGGCAAATTTATCGCGATCGCTATATAATTTGTGAGCGAGCTACGTAAATTAAAAATTTATTGTTGCTACTGATCATGGTTTATTATGTTAAATATTTTTGCAGCATTATAGCTGGTAAGTCAAAGATTTTATAGCTTATGTAATATTTTATTCTTCTTGATAGTAATTTGTGCTGTTTCTTCTGCATATGATGAAGATGAATGCAGTATCGGTCGTGTCTATAATCCTGATACACAGAAACACATCTCTAATATTCCCACAGGCTGGTATCTTAATCTTGATAGTCCCCTGAGCTGCTCTGGTAGGCTAAGCACTCTTATGGTTAGATTCTACCAGCCTCTCAACAGTGGGCGTTATTGCATACCTTGGGCATTGTGGAAACCACTAGAAAACGGCACCTATCAACGAGTTAGTAGCACTGATGCTGCATGAGTTTGTATGTAGTAGTTCATTTTTGTTCTTTTTGGATATTGATATATCTTTTTTGTTATTTACGTGTGCAGGTATCAAATTCTGATGGTTCATATTGCCAGTATTTTGATGAAGCCGCAGATGAAGACGGTAATTTTATTAAAAATAATGCTATGAAATGCATACATGTATAATCTCTAAATTACTGCTTTTTAATGGATGATTTTTTTTCATTTTGCACTTCAAATTTAACCTGACATATCTCTCCTTAATATAGACCCTGAGTTATACACTCATGATACTACTATACAGTCTTATCAACGTCATCTAGTAGAAAGAGGCCTCGTCATTGGAGTGTATATTAGAAGCTATGAAACTCTCTCAGTTGTTACAAATTCTTCCAGAATTTTTGAATCATCTGGTGTTTGTCGAGCAACCAGTGGAGTAACTAATGCTAGCAGTGTTATAAACTGCACTGTGTATGGATCGGGGAGGCTGAACTTACTTCTGAATGTTGGTAAGCAGATCAGAGAACAAATGAATATTAAAATAATGATTGGTTTATTTAATCTCATAATGATTTTGTGCTCAATTGAAGTAATCTGTAATGTTCTTTTGATTGTAAAACTTTTTATGACATATGTGATTCTTATTTTTGTTTTTTAGATATAATAGACTGTGGTCAGCCCTCTCCTCCAGCCAATGGCTCTGTTACTTATGGCAGTACACAATACGGGTCTGTGATCACGTACGCTTGCTATTCTGGTTATACTCTCAATGGTTCTCTTAACAATACCTGCTCATCTGCTGGAAGCTGGACTGCTCCTACCCCAACCTGTCAACAATTAAAGCATTGCCCTAACATAACGATAAACAATGGTTCCATGAGAGCTAATAATAGCATGGGTAGGGGACCGTTTTATACTGGGACTATTGTGCTGTTTACTTGTGATGTTGGATTTAGGCTAAGTGGGAGTCCCAGACTTGTTTGCAGGCCTGATGCTACATGGGATAACAATACCCCAACATGTATACCTAATAAGACAGTGATACCGCCCCCATCCGTGACAGGGTTCAATAGCAGTAACACAATTATCATGAGTTCAACTGTTAAGTCTTCCCCATCTGTGATAGTGTTTAATAGCAGTAACACAATTATCATGAGTTCAACTTTTAAGTCTTCCAGCACTTCTATGGCTACTGTGTTCACTACACTCCTTTCTTCTGCTAGTAGAGCTTCTGTTTCTTCTTCAAGTTCTTTTATGGCTACCAGTAATAATGTGATTAGTCAAAACACTGTCTCTGTTTCTGTCTCTCCTTCCAATTCAGTCATACCCATAATAAATGAGCCAATATTTACACGAACTCAATTAATTATATTAATTGTGGCTTGTGGTCTGTTTACTTCTGCCATAACAGCAATCATTGCTTTGGTCATTGTCATAATGTGCAGAACAAGGAGGAAAGAAGGGAGGAACGTTTCTAATAATGTCTGTAAGTAGAAGAGTTACTCCTATTTAAAAGCACTTTTACTGTTTTTTATAGCATATTTTGTGGAAGGTAGAGAAGACCTGATATACAGCGATGTGTATAGAGCACCTCAACAAGCCATTGCACTTGAAGTAAGCACTAACTATATAGGAATTAAAATAATTATCAGTAAATTTCTTTTTTAGGAGAGGCCGCATCACGAGTATGAGGAGCCTCAAACTGATGTAATCAAAATATAAATTAAATTAGCATTTTTATTTTTTTTTCATTTCTTAGATAACACGATATGAGGAACCTGCCCGAGGCAAAGAGGATCTCTATGTTCAACTTGACAGGATAAAAGTAAAGAAGATACTACTTAGTGACATTGAGTGAGTAGCCTATTCACATAATGTACATTAACCTTTTATATCCTTGTACTCTTTGCAAATGTAATGTTCACTAAAATTGTTACTAATTTAGTAAGACAACATTGAAAAAGTGTAGCCATTATAATAATAGTAGTAATGCAGTAATACTTATAAATGTTGTAATTGAATTGTTAATTCTTTTAGATTAAAGGACTATCTTGGTTCTGGGCAGTTTGGTTTTGTTCACAAAGGAATATGGAAGGGAAGCCTGGTTGCTGTCAAGTCACTGAGGAATGAAACTACCGATATTGATAGAGTGAAGTTTCTTCAAGAAGCGGCCATCATGGGGCAATTCTCTCACTCTAACATTGTCAAACTTTATGGGCTAGTAAATGAAGGAGATGATAATATAGTAAGGAGAGAAAGGGGAGAGAGGGAGAAAGAGAAGCCAAATAGCAGATAATATTTTTTAAAAGTGGAAGAGAAGAGGAGAGAAGGGAGAAAGAAATGCTAGCAAGCTAAAGAATAGATAATTCTATAGATTTGATTTAGATTATAAGTCAGAGAAAGAGAAAAGGAAAAAATGAAGAAGAGTTCCACTAACTTAAAATTATCTTTATACATTTCAGATGCTTGTGGTGGAGCTAATGCCTGCTGGAGACCTACAGAAATACTTACCAAGTCTTAGAAACAAGTAAATGTGCATTTAAGTATCCCATTACTTTATGTATGATGATAATGATAATAGTCAAAGTAAAGAAGGCTTGGCAGAAAGCCTGCTAACGTACTGCAAGGAGATATGCTCTGGCATGCTCTATTTGTCTAAGAGAGGATTTGTTCATAGAGATCTTGCTGCTAGAAATATACTACTAACAGCCACTAACCAATGCAAGGTTAGCAAGTAATGATTATTTCATATAATTATGCATATTGTATCAAATTATATTATGGTCAAATACCAGCCTTAACTCGAAAAATTTAAGTCAGAATTGGCTTAAACTTTCTACATAGCATAAAGACATCAATATGTATCAGAAAATGTAATAAAAATTGGGCATGATTTCGGAGCCATTTTTTGGAAAAACATGGGCTATAGTATACGGCTATAACTCAAAAGTTATCATCATAATTTTTTATGTTTTCTATTTGCCTTTAGATTGCTGACTTTGGTATGTCACGTGATGTTGAATTAGAAGGCTATTATGTTGCACAGAGAGGAACTATGATACCTATAAAATGGACGGCCCCTGAAGCACTCAAATTTCGCAAGTACTCATCAGCTTCAGATGTTTGGAGCTATGGCTGTGTACTGTATGAGATATGGAGTCTGGGATTGAAGCCATTTGAGCATTCACATAACAAAGAGGCAAGTAGAGAAAAATGATGTACACAGAAAATAATAAATTCAATTTAAAATATATTGCCATTTATGAAAGTGATTATAATCACCAATAATAACAAAACATCAAGTGTTTTGCTGTATTATTAGTTTCATTGTTATTTTTATTGTTTTGATAGGTTTTAGACAAGTTGGATAAAGGCTATAGGATGCCCCCACCTTCTGGCTGTCCATATTTAATGTACAAGCTCATGATACTGTGCTGGTATGACATTATAATTATGATAATTACTGTGTTTATTTATTCTATAATGAAAGTATAGTCATGTATATGTTTAATGTGATAGTGATTACATTGAATCTACATTAGCATGACATTAGACCTGTCAGACTGTACTATCACCTTATTACCAAATATGCTCCTATGTGTCAACACAGGATGTTGACTATATCCATATATACTTTGAGAGTGTTTTTTACTACTTTACATTGTTAGAATAAGTCAGTCTTGTATGCATGCCTGCATATCCCTGGTTGTTGGGATTTTGTGTGTTTGTGTTTAGCTGATTGATAATGATTGCTGATATCATAACATCAAATAAGCAAAGGTTTCATTTTCTTCTTGTATCTCATTAACATTTCTCCCTTTTTCTTTCTCTCTTCTTCCCTCCCTCTCTCTCTCTCCTTTCTCCTTTCCCTATCATATAAACAGGCATCCTGAGCCCAGTCAGAGACCATCATTTCCAGAAATCTCTCGTTTCCTATTAGAACAAAGCAACGAGAGTCTACTCCATCTACCAGAGGGTGACATTGGGACTCATCCAAAAGCAAAACAATTGGGCTCAAGTGATCTTTATGCTGGTGAAAATATGTACAAAGATCTACAGAATGCTTATGTCTATTATTCCACTTTGCAACACATTTAACTAACTTGACTTATTGTACATTTTTCAATTAATGTCTTCTGTTGTTATGATAAATTATAATCACTGCTATGAGCATTTTGTGTATGTATTAAAATGAAGTTAGATCTATCAGACTTTATTGTAATTAATAATTATCATCATTAATTATTGTTGCAATATTTTTTGAAGTCTTAAGGCTTATAAAGGATCGTGTGATTGCTCCTACAATGCAAGCATAGGCTCCTACATCTAAAGAATTTTTGGACAAAGTTTTTGTATAACTGAATTATTGCATAAGATAAACAGTTGTTACTATGTAAACAGTGACATTCTTTCAGTGCATCATGTGATGCTGTGCTAGTAGTGGAAAGGAAGGGAGCCAGTTCATTAGTGAAAGAGAGAAAAGATGTTCTTTCTGGTAGTATTGATAGGTAAATATGTTTAGATATGATCTTATACTCTCCACCTCTCTCTGTTTAGCTTTGATTGGTTCCACTGCTCCTTGTGAGGTTGGTGTACCTCATGAATCCTCAACTCTTAATATACCAAGACTTGCTAGTACATCTGGTCCACAAGTGTATCTTGGATTAGAGAATCCTGCCTCTTGTGGAGGATACCTAACAAATTACACTATTTGTTACTACAATGCTAGAAGTGGGAGACCTGTCACAGAAGGAGAGTTATCAATATGGGAAGCAGGCCCTGAACTATTTGACAGATTTAGAGTTTATGACAAGGTAGACTTCCACTTTCTTATTTAAAATTTATTTTATTAGATTATTGAATCGGTTCTGGACCTCCCTTTTACAACTGATAACGATACATGTAAGATGAAGTTTTTAAAAAATGTATTTTGGGGTTTAATTATTTTCATAGCTTGTGGGATTGGCCCTGTAGTGACACCAATTAGTAATGCACCAGGTCCTTACCCTGCTAGGGAGATTGTGTGTATGTATTACTGTCTTCCAGAGACTTCAACAGTTCTTGTTAAACCTGGTAGTGTTGTTGGTATAGTATATACTGATGGAGTCAAATATAATAACAGAGGTCAAATGCTAACACGTCATACATTTCAAACTGCAGGAACTTGTGTTGGAAATAGCCTCAGGTTTTCGCTAGGTGATATTGTTGGAGTAACCTGTCCTTTAGTACCAGCTAATACTACCACTGGTCTACTAGCTGGAGCTGGTATTGGTAAGTATGTGAACTATTGTATATATTGTAATATTTATTGTTGTTATTTCAGAGCCAATTTATTGTCCTGAATTATCTCTACAGTATGGTAGCATTAATATCTCTGGTCCTTACTCTTATGGTACTGGCATTGAATACACTTGTCAGACTGGTTTCCAACTGGCTGGTGTTTCCAGTCAAACCTGTTTGTCCAGTGGAGACTGGAGTGATGAATTACCTTATTGTAATGTACTCAACTGCACTGACCCAGGAGTACCTAGCAATGGAAGACGGCGTGGAAATCACTTCACTAATGGTTCCTTAATTGAATTCATTTGTGACAATGGTTTCACTTTAAATGGCACTTCACTGATCATGTGTTATCGTGGTAATTGGTCTGCTCCTGTACCAGTGTGCATTAGCAATACACCTTCACCCTCCTCCTCCTCCTCTTCATACTTACTCCCTACTACCTCAAATACAATTGCTAATACTACTGCCTCTTCCTCTCCTTCTACAACTAGTGACTCGAATCAATTTGCTTATCAGTTTCTGACGGCAATCTTCATTACAATAATTCTCCTCATTATATTAGTGCTTGCAAGTGCTTTGGTGTTTTTGTATGCTTATCGGAAATGTTTCAGGAGTAAGAGACGCTATACAATGACGGATCCAATATCTTATGCACAATGTAAGTTTACTATGACTATAATGATAATGAATAATAACAATTTTTGTTGTTATTTCTTTATAATAATGCATCTTCTAGTGGATAGGCCATTGCTGGAGAACGATCACTTAGAAGAAGTATCGGACGAGATTTATGACAAAGTCAAATCAGATGAAGTAACTATAATAATCATTAGCAACACACACACACAATAAACTTAATGCAATGATTGTACTATAATAGCTACTCATTCATAACTACTATTACTATGAATTACTATCACAGTTATGCTCAGTAGTTTACACTATTGTTCATTGTGAATAAAAGTACCCATAAAAATGTATGTGCAAATATAAAGATTTCTTAAATTTACAAACATGGCTTTCAGACATTATTCAACAGTTTCAGTTCATCAAGTATCCATTTTATGCTTCATTATGTCAACTTCTAGGGTCCTGTATTACCACCGCGTGCAGCCGTAATGAGATTCTCTAATCCAGGTGATACAGGAGGTAACTACTCTGAGAGAGAAGGAAAAGCAACTCCTGTTTATGGTGGAGCTGTCCCTTATAGAGGAGCAACTAAACCTATATTCATTGAGAGAGGTGGGGGACCAAGAGGTATTTATGCAAGGAGAGAGAATAAAGGACAAGAATACAATCACCCTCCTTCTGTACAATCACTGCCTTTCCCATCACCGATTGGACAAGGTGGTGGACCAGGGAGCAGGCTTAGTACTCAGTCCTTTCCTGCTAATCTGGGATATGGTGGCCATTATGAAGTGTATATACCTCAGGTAATACATTGATATGAATAATCAGTGCATAATATTTTAAAAATATCTTTGTGTATTTATGCTATAGGATGAAGATGATGATGAATCCCCATATTGGGTGCCTGCTGATTTTGAAGATGAACTATACCTGCAGTTAGATCAGATAAAAGTCAAGAAAATACCATCAGCTGAACTAAAGTATGTCCTTGAATGCAATCAGCAAAAATAAGTCTATTTCTAATAGTTACAAAAATGCTATGTACTATTAATATTTATGTACTCTTGCTTAAAGTTACATAAAAATTTTTTGCTAATTTTACCCAGCTATTAATATTACATTATTTTATTAACATCATTGTAGTGTAATGGAGATCCTTGGTAGTGGTCAGTTTGCCTATGTGAGTAGAGCACTGTGGACTAAACCCGAAGGTGAATCCATTGAAGTGGCAGTGAAGGTATTATCGGATGAAGCTGATGAGAATGATAAGATTCGGTTCTTACAAGAAGCAGCTTTAATGGGCCAATTCACTCACACTAATGTCCTAACACTCCATGGGGTAGTCAGCAGTGAAGACACTACTGTGAGTCACATATAATATTATAATAATTAATAGCTATACTTAATGTGCCAAATTTTAAGTAGATTTGGTAAATATTTTTTGTTATTTTTTAAATAGATAATGATCGTTATTGAGTTAATGAAAGGCGGAGATCTACGTCACTGGCTCATGAAGAGAAAAAGAGAGAAGAGCTATCAAGCAAACATTTTACTTAACTTCTGTAGACAGATTTGTCTCGGGATGTGTTATCTGTCCTCAAGGAAGTTTGTTCATCGTGATCTTGCAGCGAGGAATATACTAGTGACTCATGATAATATTTGTAAAGTAAGTGATGGATACATCGATCAATTTCTGAAAAAATCCCTGTACTATAGCCCATGGTTCTTTTCCAAAAAATGGCCAAAAAATGACCCCCAATTTTTATTACATTTTCTGATACATATTGATGTACTTATGCTGTGTAGAAAGTTTGAGCTGATTCCAACTTAAATTTTTCAAGTTATGGACATATCTATAGATCAAATTCTCATTTCTATTCATAGATATCTGACTTTGGCATGTCTCGTGATTTGACTGAAACAGACTACTACACAGCAAGTGAGGGTGGATTAATACCAGTAAAATGGACGGCCCCCGAGGCACTCAAGTTTCGCAAGTACTCATCAGCTTCAGATGTGTGGAGCTATGGTTGTCTCATGTATGAGATATGGAGTCTTGGACATAAGCCATTTGATACAATTAAGAACAATGAAGTATATGAATGGTTTTTAATGCCTGCTTTTTATAGTATTTTCTTTTGTAGTATATGAAGAAGATTAGTAGTGGATATCGCCTTCAACCTGTTCCTGGTTGCCCTAAAATGATGTATGAGATAATGATGAAGTGCTGGTAAGACAACAGATCTATTTGTGCTTGAGAAATGTAGTATTCATTGCACATTAAATTGTAAAATAATGCTTCTATTTTGTATTAATTTATAGGCATCCTGAGTCAAAGAAGAGGCCCAGTTTTAATGAGATAATGCTGTTATTGTTGAAAGATGATTCCACATTGTTATTGATACCAGATGAAGATAGACTCACTCATTCTGAGGCTGGTCAGTTAGGTGGTCCTCTTGAAGCTGGGGATAAGCTATACACTGACCTACAGTCTATGTACATTGATGATGAGCAATGAAGTGTAGATGTCATATGTCCTTAAGAAGCTGGAAATGATTTTTAATACTTGTTTGTGTAAACTGTTGTATCATAATAATTATATTTATGATAATAGATTGTTTTAACCTTATGCTTAATATCAATGATGTGTACATTCTATGACTGAGTCATGTGATTATACTCTACCCTTAGCTGTAGTGTAGTGAGAGGAAGAGAAAAATATTTGAGAAAAATATTTGAGAAAAATATTTGCTGGTGTAAGCATAAGGAGAAAAGAAATGATGCTTCTTACATTTACTATTCTAACTTTGATTGGTTCCACTACTCCTTGTAATGTTGGTGTACCACAGGAGTCTTCAATTCTTAATATTATACCAAGACTTGCTAGTTCAACTGGTACACAAGTATATCTTGGATTAGAGAACCCTGCCTCTTGTGGAGGATACCTAAGAAATTACACTATTTGTTACTACAATCGTAATGCTGGGAGCAATGTCACAGCAGGAAAGTTATCAATATGGGAAGTAGGTCCTGAACTATTTGATAGCTTAAGAGCCTATAAGAAGGTAGGTTTTCATTTTTTATGCAAGAAATTAATTTTTATTAGATAACCAAATCAGTTGTGGACCTACCTTTCACAGCTAATAAGAGCACATGTAAGTTGAAGTTTCTTCTTTGTTTCTGATGCCTATAATTATTTTTGTAGTTTGTGGGATTGATTCTGAAGTGACACCAATTAGTAATGTACCAAGTCCTGACCCAGCAGTGGAGATTGTGTGTGTATTACTGTCTTCCAGTGAATTCAACAGTTTTTGTTAAACCTGGTAGTGTTGTTGGTATAGTATATACTGATGGAGTTGATTATAACAGAGGTCAAATACTAACTCGTCATTCATCACAAACTGTAGGAACTTGTGTTGGAAATGTCTTACTTTCGCAAGACGATCTTGTTGGAGTGTCCTGTCCTATAGTACCAGCTAATATTACCACTGCTTTACTAGCTGGAGCTGGTATTGGTAAGTATGTGAACTATTGTATTGCTTTAATATTTATTGTTGTTATTTTAGAGCCAATTTATTGTCCTGAATTATCTCTACAGTATGGTAGCATTAATATCTCTGGTCCTTACTCTTTTGGTACTGGCATTGAATACACTTGTCAGACTGGTTTCCAACTGGTTGGTGTTTCCAGTCAAACCTGCTTGTCCAGTGGAGACTGGAGTGATGAATTACCTTATTGTAATGTACTCAACTGTACTGACCCAGGAGCACCTAGTAATGGGAATCGCGATCTACACAGCTACACTAATGGTTCTTCAGTTTTCTTTTATTGTTACGATGACTTCACCTTAAGAGGCAATAGATTAATCACTTGCTATCGTGGGACGTGGACTGCCCCTGTACCAGAATGTGTGCAATGTGAGTTTCATATACTTTGTTCACAGCTCTCACTGATAGCCTTCAATTTTGTAATACTATTTTTTATTTCTTATATCCACTTTCTCTAGATAAGAAAATTGGTTTAATTGTTGGACTTGCTTTTTCCACTCTTTCGGCAGTACTGGTTGTCATTATAGCTATAATACTAGTAGTAGTAATAGTCATGTTTAAGCATAAAATAAAGAAAATTAAAAAACAGTAATCCAATGACACTGATATTGATATATTATTTCTAATAGAAATTGTGACATTGATATGATTGAAACAAATGAGAGTCCAGCTTATAACTTACTTAAGTGAGTTTATGGCATTAATTCACTTCTTCTCATTCTTTCACATTTCATTTTCAGTAATGATGATGATGATGATGATGACATGCAGTATAATCAAACATATGACAGAGAAATGAGAACATATGCTACAATATTGTATGTTTCATTAGTGTGTGTATGCATTGTGATGTTTCATTCATCAGGTCACTTGATGAAAACTATGCAAGAATAGAAGACTATTAGCTGATGATTAAACTATGCAACTCTTTTCTTAGTGATTCACAAGTCACATTAATATACAGTATTGTAGTGTACTATATAGCTAAAAATTTGGTCAAGTAATAATTTAAAGAATTGGGTGTTTTAGTCACTAAATTTTTTAACCTTCAATTTCATTGTCTCAACATTTTTAGCTCATAGCTGCAGTGCAGTATGAGCAATAAAGTGTAATATGCCATTAAGATGGTTTGTTTGTGCTATGATATGTGTAATGATTATATTGATGCGACTAGATTGTTTTAGCCTAACACTTAAAATTAATGATGTGTACATTCTATCACTGAGTCATGTGACTTTACACTACTCCTAGCTGTAGTGTAGTGGGAGGAAATATTTGCTGGTGTAAGCATAAGGGGAAAAAAGAAATGATGCTTCTTACATTTACTGTTCTAACTTTGATTAGTTCCATTGCTCCTTGTGATGTTGGTGTGCCTCATGAATCTACAACTCTTAATATACCAAGACTTGCTAGTGAAAGTGGTACACAAGTATATCTTGGATTAGAGAACCCTACCTCTTGTGGAGGATACCTAACAAATTACACTATTTGTTACTACAATGCTAGAAGTGGGAGACCTGTCACAGAAGGAGAGTTATCAATATGGGAAGCAGGTCCTCAACTATCTGATGGATTTAGAGTTTATGAGAAGGTAGATTTCCACTTTTTATTTAAATTTTAGTTTCTATTAGATCTCTGAATCAGTTCTGGACCTCCCTTTCACAACAGATAACAATACATGTAAGTTGAAGTTTTTAAAAGTATTTTGGGGTTTAATTGTTTGTGTAGCTTGTGGTATTGATCCTGTAGTGACACCAATTAGTAATGCACCAGGTCCTTACCCTGCTAGGGAGATTGTGTGTATGTATTACTGTCTTCCAGAGACTTCAACAGTTCTCGTTAAACCTGGTAGTGTTGTTGGTATAATATATACTGATGGAGTCAGTTATTACAGAGGTCAAATGCTAACACGTTATACGCTGCAAACTGTAGGAACTTGTGTTGGAAATGACTTAATATATTCGCTAGGTGATCTTGTTGGAGTATCCTGTCCTTTGGTACCAGCTAATACTACCACTGCTTTACTAGCTGGAGCTGGTATTGGTAAGTATGTGAACTATTGTATTGTTTTAATTGTTGTTGTTTTAGAGCCAATTTATTGTCCTGAATTATTTCTACAGTATGGTAAAATTAATATCTCTGGTCCTTACTCTTATGGTACTGGCATTGAATACACTTGTCAGACTGGTTTCCAACTGGTTGGTGTTTCCAGTCAAACCTGTTTGTCCAGTGGAGACTGGAGTGATGAATTACCTTATTGTAATGTACTCAACTGCACTGACCCAGGAGTACCTAGTAATGGAAGACGACGTGGAAATCGCTTCACAAATGGTTCCTTAATTGAATTCATTTGTGACACTGGCTTCACTTTAAATGGCACTTCATTGATCATGTGTTATTGTGGTAATTGGTCTGCTCCTGTACCAGTGTGCATTAGCAATACATCTTCACCCTCCTCCTCTTCTTTGCCATACTTAGTCCCTACTACCTCAAGTACAATTGCTAATACTACTGCCTCTTCCTCTCCTACAAC